CTGGTTAGCTAGCTGGACGAGAAGTCACCAACAGCATAAATCATGCTTCTCTGCAGCTGGAACCAATGTCAGGAATAGCTGTCCTAAATTTACTCATTTCATTTCTTTTCGGGGTGCGGTGGGTCTGTAGAGAGAAGCCAGCCGTTGTGGTTCTCCTGGTGGGCCTCTTAGGCATCGAAATTGGGGGCTGGTGTATGTAGGATGTTGATTTGGGCTCCTTTATGAGTTCTTTCAAGGTCTCACATCCATAGTTTGGTCTAGCGGGTTAAGGCAGAAGGCTAGAAGCTGGGAGACGGTGAGTTCTAGTCCTGCTTCAGGCATGAAAGCTGGCTGGGTGACTTCAGACCCAATCACCAGGAGACGGTGAGTTTTAGTCCTGCCTTAAGCACGGAAGCTGGGTGGGTAACCTTGGGCCAATCACCAGGTGATGGTGAGTTCTAGTTCCACCTTAGCTGGCTGGGTGACTTTGGGCCAATCGCTAGGAGACAGTGAGTTCTAGTCCCGACTTAGGCATGAAAGCCAACTGGGTGATTCTGGTCCAATCACAAGGAGACGGTGAGTTCTAGTTCCACCTTAGGCATGAAAGCTAGCTGGGTGACTTTAGGCCAATCACCAGGTGACAGTGACTTCTAGTTCCACCTTGGGCACGAAAGCCGGCTGGGTGACTTGGGGCCAGTCCCTCTCTCTCAGCCAAAACCCACTTCACAGGTCTGGTTGTGGGGAAAATACGGTAGGAGGAAGGGGTATTAGATATGTTCGCCCGCTTGAGCTATTTTTATAAAGCTAATAAAAGCAGGAAACAAAATAAATAAATAAATGCATAGCTTGAAAGTAATCGAAGTCACGGACTCCATCTGAGATGGTGGATTGGCACTAGGCGGTCTCCAAGGGCCACCAGCTGAGTTCCCTCTGAAGAATATCCAGCTACCTACATCTGTTGAATGGAATAGAATAGAATAACAGAGATGGAAGGGACCTTGGAGGTCTTCTAGTCCAACCCCCTGCTTAGGCAGGGAACCCTATACAAAGTGGCGTTTGAGTCCCAAATGGGACAAAATGGGTCTTTTTAACCCCTAAGGGTCAGTGAAAATAGGATAAAACAAATAGATGAAAAATAGAGAAATCCCCCATTTCTCTTAATGAGAAATCCCCCTCATTAAGGGAGAAGCTGGAAAATGCGCGAAATACACTCACTGATAAAAAGGGCTATTTTTATTTGATTCATATGGATGTCCATCTTAGCTACGGGTAGTCCTCGAGTTACGACCACAACTGAGCCCGACATTTCCGCTGCTAGGTGAAACGTTTGTCAAGGGCCCCCATTTTACGGCTTTTCTTGCCACCGTTGTTAATGTGAAGCATTGCATTTGTTAAGTGAGTCACACGGTTTGTTAAGCAAACCTGGCTTCCCCCGTTGACTCGGCTTGTCGGAAGGTCGCAAAAGGGGACCGCGTGACCCATGGGGGACACGGCAACCGTCGTAAATGTGAACCGGCAGCCTGAATTTTGATCGTGTGACCACGGGGAGGCTGCAATGGCCGTAAGCGTGAAAAATGGTCACGAGTCCCTTTTTTCAGTACCGTTGTAACTTTGAGCAGTCATTAAATGAATTGTTGAAAGTTGAAGTCTACCTGTACATAAAATGTCTATAAACAAAGCAGAAAAACCCCACAATTCGAACAGTCCCCATCAAATGATTGAGGCATATATCGAGTCAAGCCCTAAATCTATTCTTGCGCAACTCAAAATCCACTCAACCACAAAAAGAACCTTGTATGAAAACATGGACAAAAAGTCCCAGAGGAATACTGAGAATGCCTCAATTTTAAGAAAAGCAGTCCATAGAAAAATCAAAAAGATTTGGAGCAAGGATAATGGGTTTTAAGTAAAAAGTAGATACAAAGTAAGTTGTATATAAATATTAACCCTCATGGTTGTTGTTTTTTTAAAACACAGGCCTTCAATGTTTCCCCCACCCACCTACCCACCCATTGGAAGGGAGAACAAACAGACTTGTAATTTGGCTACTATTTTACAAGGGGAAAAGTGATGCTTTGGGTTCAGGTGGCTAGTCATTCCTGTAGAAATGTTTATTACTTTTATTTTAAAGAGCTGGGACAATAGGTTTCAGTGAAAGTGAAGGATGGAATTAACTCAGAAACAAATCAACCAGCAATTTAAAGGAAGCGGAAACAAGAGAGAGAGAGAGAAAGGGAGGGAGGAGAAGGAAGGAAGGAAGGAAGGAAGAGGAAAGAGAAGATAGAGAAAGAAAGACACACAGAAAGGTGAAAGGGAGAAAGAGAGAGAGAGGAAAGAGGGAGGGAGGGAGAAGGAGGGAAGGAAGGAAGCAAAGAGATAAAGAAAGACACCGAAAGGTGAAAGGGAAAGAGAGGAAGAAAGAATGAAAGAGAGAGAGGAGGAAAGAAGGCACAAAGAAAAGATGAAGAGAGAGAGACAGAAACGCAGAGAAAGGTAGAGAGACAGAGACAGACAAAAAGGAAGAAAGGAGGGAGGGAAGAAGGAACAAAGAAAAGAGAAGATGGAGAAAAAGACAGAAAGAAAAGAAAAGGAAAGAAAGAAAGAAAGAAAGAAAGAAAGAAAGAAAGAAAGAAAGAAAGAAAGAAAGAAAGAAAGAAAGAAAGAAAGAAAGAAAGAAAGAAAGAAAGAAAGAGTCAGGATTAAGAAACCAAGGAGGAAAAAAATTCCTACGGACAACATTTCATGAACAACCTCATGGGATTTCTTTTTATTATCCTGACACAGAAGCTTAAATCTACTGCTCTGTCACTGAAAATCAAAGTGCAGGTGAGGCAGTACACCTGAGCAGGGATGGTTCAGAAAAGAGAAAAACCCATTTCAATTGCCTGGTGCCCCCATCCTTCCCTTCCTCCACCCAACCTGGCCGAGAGTCTTTCAAAGGCACTTCCCCTTCCATCATTGCCATCCAGGACAAATCTAGGCCATTTCTGCCAGACACAAACAGGCTAATAACCCATTAGAGGAGCGGAGATCGGCCAGCATTTATCTTTCTAGCTGACATGCCATTTTAGGATCAAGTTACAAGGGCTTCAAAAGGCGTTGGAAAGCGGTCCACAAATGTCCACAAATATAGTCCAAATTGATAAAAACAAACAACACGTCTCCAGTTCAAATCAAGTAAAAATAAAATATCAGAAGAAAATGAAGAGCATCACACAGAGAGAGAGATACTTAGAGAGAGAGAGAGAGAGAGAGAGAGAGAGAGAGAAAGACATGCACTCCAATCTCCCCTTGGAATTATAAGATAACCTTTATTGTCACTTTTTTTTTTCTGTGAACACACTGGCATACAATAAAAAATGACATTCTGATGCCTACTCTCAAAAGAAAATAAATATATAACCTTATATACAATGCACACACATATACATATGATATATATACACACACACATTATATATAGAGACACATACACACACACACATATATATATATATACATACATACACAGACACACATTATATATACATCCACACATTATATATACATCCTCACATTATATATACACATACACTATATATATATAATATATATATATATATATATATATATATATATATATACACACACACACACACACACACACACACATACACACACACACATATATATATACACACATACACACATACATACATACATATATATGTATACATTACACACATTAATCACAATCCATTTTGAATACATAGTCTTCAGAGTTTATATGATTATGATCATTTCACAAGGAGCATTGCAGGACTTATGAACAAATCTAAAGTGCTCTAAAATGCTGCTATTATGGAAGTTCTAACTCAACGTTTTGCAAATCAAACATTACAAGGCAAATCCTTTTTTTTTTTTTTTTTCACGCCATGCCAACTCATGGCTGCATCTTTCTCTTTCTTTCTTTCTTTCTTTCTTTCTTTCTTTCTTTCTTTCTTTCTTTCTTTCTTTCTTTCTTTTTCTTTTTTTTTTTAAAAAAGAATCCCAACTTTGAAGATGGGGACAGGAAGGGGGAAAAAAAACCAAAAAAACATTTGAGGGGTTTTTTTTCCAAAGCAGAAGTAAACTTTTCCACCATTAAAACGGTGACGGCTGATAATAAACGATGGGTCGGGAGAAACAGTTTTGTAAGCAGGTTGTGCCCCCACCCCCCAGATCCTGGAAAAATTCACCCCCAATTACCACCCAGGTCTCCTAAAGGATTTTCTCTTCAACCTGACCAGAAATTTGTTGCAAAAGGTTGGGGGAGAAGACAGGGGTGGGGGGGATGGGTTGGGTGTGGGGGGGGGGGGGGGGCAGGGGATGGAATGGGGAAAATAAACAAAACCTGGACATTTTTTTTTTTTTTTGGCTCCACGGCCTGCTGATCGGGCTGGCATAGCCTACGGAACCAAGTCTTCATTTTGCAGCTCAAGTGCACCCAAGCTTCCCCACTTCCCAGAAGGTTGTTTACTTAAAATACACAGTTCGACCCCCTCCTTTACCTCCCCACCCCAACCCCAAACGAAAGCTGTGGGTCGGTGAGAAATTTAACCACAGTAATTCAGGGTTGTTGTTGGTTTTAGTTTTTGTTTTAAAGAGGCCAGCAAAATCGTTCTCAGTGAGAAAGGATGTATGTGCGCGAGAGAAGCCTTGCAAAGTCAAAAAAAAAACAAAAACCCTTTCTCCTCCTCCCTTTCCCAAATAGCCCAAGCATCAGTCCCAAGAGAGAAACCTGCCCCGTATTCTCAGCCAAAAATCTTTAAAAAATAACAAAAAAAAAACCCTTCCTCCTTTGGAGCTATCTGCTTGTGGTGGCAGCTCACCAGCCCCACGTCCCAGAGGGTTAGAAACCTCCTTAGGTCCCTATTATTTATATATTATTTACATACATACATACATACATACATACATACATACATACGGAAGGGTGGGTGGATGGAGGGAAGAGGAAAAGAGAGAGAGAGAGAGAGAGGACGGAGCTGCAATGGACTTACGTGAAGACGAAAAAGAGCGAAGTTGACCCCACTAGTAAGGCGGCTGCAGTAGAGACGGGGATGTATTTTGTCGGTTTAAATCTTTTTCCGATACTGCTGGGCATTCTGTGGATTATACATCACTGTGCATTAATCCAGAGTATCCAAGAGGCACTGGGGAGCCAGAGAGAGAGAGAGAGAGACAGAGAGAGAGACAGAGAGAGAAAGAGAAAGGGGGGGGGAAGGGCTAGGGCGTGGGGAAAGCCCCCGAGATGAAGGTCTTGCACTGCAGCGAGATCAAGCGAGGGGAGGGGAAAAGGGGTAGGAAGAGGAGGAAAAATAAAAGGGGGAATTGAGACAGAGAGGGGGAGGGAGAGAAAGAGAGAAGAGGGGGGGAGGAGGAAAGGGATGGGTAACAGCTGACCTCTTTTGCACAGGAAACTCAACCCACAGAAGCCAGCCCACTTGGCTGATGTCAACCAACCCCTTAAGGTAGCACTGCAGAAAGAGAGATGGGAGATGGTGGTGCTGGAAAGAGATTTAAGAAGCAGCAATCGAGGGGTGAGGGAAGGAAACCCCTGAAGCTCATCAGGGACCTCCTCAACTTCCCGGCTCTGCGGCTGATCTGCAGGATTCCCTCCCTACACGGTCTTCTCCAGAGGAGATCCTTCAGATCCCAATGCATCTTTGCAACCGAAAGAGGAGGCGCCGCCAAGGCAGAGCGAAGGAGAGATCCAGCAGATTGGGAGGAGGAGGAGGAGGAGGAGGAGGCAGAAAGGGGGTTACGGATTTTGTCCGCTGGCCGTGGAGACGTTTTTTTGGAGGGGACGAGGGAGATTTTCCCTTGGGATGCTTCCAAAAGGTGAGATTTGAAGGGCCAAAGGACAAGTCAAAGAAGAAGGAGGGATTTTCTGACAGTGAGAACAATCAACCGAAGGAACAGAATTTGCCTTCGGAAGTTGTGGGAGTTTCATCACTGGAGGCTTTCAAGAAGAGACTGGACTGCCCTCTGTCAGAAATGGGGTAGGGTTTCCTGCTTGGGAGAGGTGGGGTTGGACTAGATGACCTGCAAGGTCTCTTCCAACTCTGTTAATCTGAATCTATCTAAGATGATCAAAGGCCTGGAGGCTAAAACATACGAAGAACGGTTGCAGAAACTGGGCCTGGCTAGTCTAGTGAAGGGCCAGGGGAGACAGGATAGCAGTCTTCCAATATTTGGGGGGCTGCCACAGAGAGGAGGAAGGGGGTCAAGCTATTCTCCAAAGCAACTGAAGGCCAGACAAGGAATAATGGATGGAAACTGACCAAGGAGAGATTCAACCTGGAAATAAGGGAGACATTTTCTGACAGTGGGAACAATCAACCCATGGAACAGAAGTTGCCTTCAGAACTTGTGGGAGCTTTATCCCTGGAGGCTTTCAAGAAGAGACTGGACTGCGATCGGTCAGAAATGGTGTAGGGTCTCCTGCTTGGGCGGGGGGTTGGACTAGATGACCTACAAGGTCCCTTCCAACTCTGTTAATCTCTGTTAAAAAAGGAAGAGGAACATAGCAGCTCCACCCCAGGTCCAGCTTGCTCCAAGAGGGGATTCTGGAGAACTTTGAGACCTTAACATTTTTTGATGTCGCCTAAATGTTATTAACCACTTTGGGGTGAAATTTGTGATCTCTTTTGGGCCACCTCAGCTACCAATGCTGCTTTTTAGGCAGTCAACGAGACCCTTCCCCAAAATAAAAACTTTTTTGTCTTTTCCATATGTAGGGTGTTACAACTCCCACAATTGTTGAGAGCTCTAAGGGGAAAAGGAGAGGATAAATTTTTCAACCTAGAACAACTGGGACCAGAATTCCCTTTGCTACGACGGTTACTGAGCAGTGCTCTGCAACAGTTGCTCAGGGAATCACACGGTCGTTAAGTGAAACCAGCATCCCCGTCTCTCCCCATTGGCTCTGCTTGTTGGAAAGCCGGTTGGGGAAAATGGTGATCACGTGACAGTGCAGCCATGGTTTTAAATACACACCAAAGTGACCAAATTTTGATCACGTGACTCTGGGGACGCTGCAACGATTGTAAATGCAAGGACCAGTGGTAACTCCCTTCTGTTGCTGCGGTTGTAACTTTGAAGGCTGGTTAACTGAATGGCTATAAATCGAGGACTACTGCATTTATAAAGGACTTAGCAGAGTACCCGTGCTTCGCTACAAAACGATGTGATTGGGCTTAGGTTCTGGGGGAAAATAAGGGCGGGGGGAGGATTGTGCCTCTATCAGCATCCATCGGTATTCATCTGGCTAGCGTCTGTCAGTGTGTGTGAGCTGAGGGCTGTTTGGAAACTGAAGCAGCATTTGCTGTGTCAGCAAGGAGAAAGCAAGGAGCCTGGGCGTGGCTTAGCTCAACTGCAGTTGGAACAGATTTCTTTTCAGGTGGGGAGGGGGAGTAGAACTCCTTAGCATCAGAGCGTGTTAATAATAATAATATAGGAAATAGTAATGCTCTGATGGTCATTTTGAAAAATCCTTTCTTAGCGAGCACCTAGGAGCCAAGAGGAACATACGTGCCAAATTTCAAGTTTGTAAGCTTTATGGTTCTGGAGATTTTGTGATGATGCGCGAGTGGCATTTCGCTTTTATATATATAAAGTAGAATTGTATGAATTCAGACTTTTAGACAATCTTATTGGCTTTTTAAGATTCCAAAGACGATCACTAAAGTATCATTTTCACCTCATGGATATTCCCCCAGGCCAAGATCATCAAATAATGGGGACTTGTGATCCATCACCCTTAAAAACCATAAGCAGCTCTTGCTTAATTTGAGGAAGGAGCTCAGGAGAACCAGCTGGCACCTAAGTTTTCTTTTTTTCTTTTTTTTCTGTTCTAAGGAATATTTATTCCAAACCACAACGGTAACAAGTTTTCATTCCATTTCATGCAGTTGAGCATTTAGAGCAGGCTTGTCCAACCCGCGGCCCATGGGCCGCATGTGGCCCAGGTCACCTCGTAATGCGGCCCAGTGCCTACCCCAACCTTCGTGCCAGAGCCAGCGAGGAGGAAGAGAGGCAGGCGCGAGGCGGGGCGAGCGCCATGCCAAGCAGCAACAGAAAAGGCGGGCACCGTCAGAGCGCCACCTCCTGCTGTTGCCGCCGCTGCTGCTTCTGCCCCCTCTGCCGCCGCTTCTGCCCCGCCACCGCCGCTTCTGCCCCCGCCGTTGCTGCTGCTTCTGCCCCCACCACCGCTGCCCCCGCCGCCGCTTCTGCCTTCCAGTCCTGCCTCATCCAGCCGGGCCATTTGCAGGAGGAGAGGTAGGCACGAGGCAGGCGAGCTTTCTCCCCCCCCCCCCGCAAAATTTGGCCGGAAAATAAACCGTGATAAACCGTGATAAAAAATAAATAATTTTTAATAAATAATTAATAATAAATAATAAAAACATCTCACTAACTTCATTTCCAAATAAATTTAATATGTTAACTATGTTTTCTATGGTTTTTTGGATGATCAGGTATTGTTACTGTTATTTTATTTTATGTGCGGCCCAAACCAAATTTTCATCTTCTAATGTGGCCCAGGGAAGGTGAAAGGTTGGACACCCCTGATTTAGAGTAAACCTCCCCAAGTGAATGTATAGGATTTAAAGGGGAAAAAACAGCAATGGCCTTCCTGCCAGATTTTGGCACCGTAAGCCACTGTTTACCACCCACAAAGGCCACGTCTGCCCACAACGCATGCCGTAAACAAGCCACGATGAACTCGTTGGATCAACCGTGAACAAACCCAACCCCTCGTTCTCGGCCCTTGCGTTTAAACTCTTCTCCGTTTTTACTTCATGTCCTCTGAGAAATGTTAATTCTCTATTTTATGGTTGGCACCTTTTGGCTTCAGCCTGACAATTCCAGGAAATCTCAAAAGTGAGAAAAAAAGATTGCTTTGTTTGGGGATTTGGGGGTGTGTGGAGATGAGGGTGCGAACTACCTTGTGCATTACATAAATGTTGATGTATAAATAGCATGACTGAATTGTACAGAGCCCAGATGGATCTAGCAACAGAGATCAGCCTGCATTAACCAGTCAGCCAGATTAATAAACAAAGAGGCTGAATTTTGCTAATAATCTTAATTTCTCCCACCTTTAGTTCCAAGGAGTTGCAAAGGAAGCGAGGTCCATTTCTATTCAGGGCTGCAAACTTCAGAATGGGCTGTATGTCCACACTGTCTTTCTGGTTGTGTGCCACGGAACAGGGTGGGAACCAGAGACAGGCACCTGCCTTTAATTAGCCCAGTCAGAAATGTGAAGAATTCCAGTGCACCCATAAGCAAAAACAGATTTTTGTGTGTGTTTGTTTTTGCATCTATCCTAACCGCTGTTGCAAAATATTGCAATGCATCCCGTTTGCAGCACAATTAGTTATTCGGGGGTGTTTTTTTTTTCCACGGGTGGAGTTGGAAAGTCGAACCTTGGTTTGCTTATCAGAGTGGTCATTTGTCCAAAATCTGCCCCAGGAAGATGACCTGTGCACTGTGTGGACAGGCTTCCAAGTCTTGTTGGATTGCTGTCCGCGAGAAGTTAGGGAGGAAAATCCACGGTGAGCAAGTTCAGAATGAGCAGGTTACACCTCTGCCTTCCCAAACTTATCTCCCAGATGCATCTGCCTACACACGGATGGAGGTGTTCACTTCTGCATAATCCATGCGCAATTTGGTACCCATGATGCAACAGCTGGCGCTTTGCTTTGGAGAACGACTTTTGCCTATTGCACAGGAACAAACCTGATGGAGCGAAGGGCAAGGGACAGATTAATGTCCCCACCTGTTTGATTGCAAAAACCTTATAAAGCAGATATCAGGTAAAAACGCTGGTGGGGGAAAAAAAGGGATTGAAACTGCAGTTGTCCTAACAGGATCCCATCAATTCCCATCTCTCTCTCTATACACACACACGGGGTGGGGTGTGTGTGTGAAGGCCTTGGGGTTACTTTCACTGGGTTTAGAAGATAAGCTAGATCAGGGTTGATTCAATACTTAAAGAGTAGCAGGAAGTCCGAGGCCATTAAGTAGATGCGGAAGTCAGAAAGCTTCCAAGATGGAGGAGATGGCGAAGCTTGCCAAGATGATGTCACCATGATTCAAGTGTGAATTGAAGGACTTCTGACTTTCCTCCTTATATCATTCACTGACATGCAGCAATCATGGGTTAGGGCTTAGCTAGGCGATGTAGGTTCCACCCTCATCCATCTAACCGATTTCATACCAAGTTGGGTCAATTTCTCTGTAGAATTAACTATACCAAAGCAGTATTGAAGCGTTGCCAACTCAGTGGATGCGATCCATGTCAACTTACCTTGGTACTCTGCTTGGAGAATTTCTTGCAGATGTTTTATTACCTAACTAGGTAACATTATCAGCGGTAGTAGGGAGGTTTGTGGAAGATTGTAGAGTCCTTGGGTTCTGAGTGTGATGGTTTTCTTGCAGACGTTTCATTACCAAACTAGGTAACATCGTCAGGGCTACCTGACCGTGAGCAAGACATTTGTCCTCTGGAACAGTTTTACTATCTTTCCTATCTTCCTTTTTATTTCATTTTTTATGGTTGTGAGCAGCCTAAAGTAGCCCATGACGAGATAGGCCACAATTTTTTTTGATAATAATCTTGTAACCTTGCCACTAAGAGCTAGGAACGTTCTTCCTCTGGAGATGATGGGGACTGAATTTATGACTTGGCTGTAACATCTTCAAAAACTGAGGTAACCAGTTTTTGATGTCATAATCTTCCGACCTATTTTGTTTCACCAAGTCTCTGAGATTAAGCAGTAAAGTCACCTGGCAAACTCGGTGGCCAATACAAAGTTACTGTAGAAAACACTGTGAATATTAGCACAAAATCATATTGATGCAACCACACACACACACGCTTTATCAGATACTTTACTATTGTTTTGACCCATTTGTGAGAACCGGGTGTATATCTTCTTCAGGTTTTTAGTGCAAATGCGAATATGTGCACCTTGCATACACTTGGATTTTTACCAAGAACTTTGTAGCATTTATTGTCCAAATTTGCTTTCATTACGATGCAGATGAATTATTCACAACAGCTTCAAATAGCGTACGTGGGTACAATTTAGGAAATAAATCCAACTGATTTTTCTCCTTTATTCATGTCTATGTATTGTATTTATGTTGCAATGCATTTTAGGCAATTTACGATCCGCCCATTAGCATTATTTTGCTATTATTGTGTACAATATTGAGCCGTTCTTCAAATTCGTTTCAGGAATCCTGCTAGGAAGGCAAAAATCTCCTAGAAAGAGGTGTTTGTGTGTGTGTGTTGACTGCTGGCAACTGCCTGGACATGTCCCTAGTTTTCTTGGCAAGGATTTTGTCCTTCGTAGGCTGAGAGAGAGACTGGCCCAAGGTCAGTCAGTTTCATACCTTAAGCTCACAATCTCCTGGTTTCTAGTGCTACTTAATCACTACAGGTAACCCTCGACTTACAATTAATTTAATGACCGAAGTTACACTGTCACTGAAAAAGGGGACTTATGACAGTTTTTCACAGCCATCCCTGTGGTCATGTGATCCGAATTCAGAGGCTTGGCAACTGACTTGTATTTGTGACGGTTGCAGGGCCCTTGGGTCACGCGATCCCTTTTGCGGCCTCCCGACAAGCGAAGTCAATGGGGGAAAAGCCATTCACTTTATGACCATGTTACTCACTTAACCACAGTGATTCACTTTAACAACTGTGGCAAGAATGGTCACAAAATGGGGCGGTCGTTTAAGGGTGGTTGTTTAAGTCGAGGACTGCCTGCATTCCAAACTGGCTCTCCCTAGAGAGGGCTGCAGAACTGCAAATGGTAAAAAACTGCAGCTTTATTCACTCATACAAGTGGCTGACTATGAGAAACAGAAGTTTGCTGCAGTGCATTCCAGGGTATTGATTTAATAAGCTTCAGCCTGCAATAACTCAAGACACCAATCCAATTTCCAATTAAAAATAAGATGGCACATATTTTTTTTTGTAGCATCTTACTTTATGCTCCTGTTTCTTTTACACAGCATTGTTGAAACATCGTTTCGTTTTAATATATAAAGTTAAACAAACACTATATAAATTCCTGTCGGTATGGCTTCGTTTCTCTTTCTGAACATGTCTCCACACCATAAAAAAAATTGGAAGGAGAAGAGGCCTCGGAAAAGCACACACAAGCATTGCATTTTACAAAGGGAGCAAACAGAACAGGCAACCTGCATAGTACACATTTACACACAGCAACAACAATTCCATTGTTCCCTTTCTCCCCCTGTCCCCGCCCTCCCAAACCCAAGTGACAGATGAGGAGCTGCACTAAAGAGTCACATTCAACAGATGCTCTTCCCTTCGCACATCACTCACTTTTCGTGCCCCAGAAATTACAATACAGGAAATCAAGTCGTTAAATAGCTCAAAGGGTAGATCAATTACACACAAGTTATCCTGAGACCATGGAGATTGGAGGCCGTAAGAACCAGAAACACAACACACCAAATTTTCGATTCCTCCCCCGAACACTTACAAGAATTAAGCAAAACAAAAAGATGAAGGTTAAATTTATTTCAAAGTTAGCCGGGTGAACAGTGCCTCTTTTTGATAAAATCATTTATAGTGATTTCTATCTGAAAATATGCATCCAATGCCCTTTTACCTTACTGTTGGGTATACTGACAGGCCCTGGGGACTGGTTGAGGTATTTCTGCATCTCCCTATCTGCCTTAGTCAAAGTACAATGCCAAAAATACGCTACTACTACAGGAAGAAACAAATATACATCCATAAAAATGTAATGATTGTGGGGAGAGAGGGAGGGAGACAGAAAGAATATCAAGGAAATACTTAAGAAACTCCAGAAAAAGGTCATGGATGAGTTCAAACAGTTCTGCTGTTAATTGAACAGAAGTTTTTAATTAAAGTAATAACAAGACAACTGCCTTTTGTTTCAAACAAGAGAAAAGGAATGTTTTATAGCCACTCTCTTAATGTAAGCGGGTAAGCTGATGTTTTGTCAACCATGGCAACCTGAAGATCTGTGGATTTCAACTCCTAGAATTCCCCAGGCTGGCTGGGGAATTCTGGGAATTTGGAAGTCCACACATCTTCAAGGTGGCCAAGGCTGAGGAACACCGGAATAACCCAGCACCCAGGAGAACTTGCAATCTTTAAAAGAAACTAGACCAGGCACTCTCAACTTACATGCAAGACTGACAATCTGTGTTACTTTTGGGGGAGATTTCTACGATCAAGAGGTATGGGTCAAGAAGGGAATACAGCTTGCAGAATATAAACACACCCAGAAAGCCTGAGTTATATGTTAAAAGAAAAAAAACAATCTTGCTCCCTGCCTCCTCCGCCATTTCCGAAGACCAATTATAATCCACTTTGCCGTGAGGATGGAAAGCAACAACATACTCGGTTGGGTGAGCACAGCCCATGGTTATGGATGCAGCAGCTCATCACACAAAACGTTTTTGGTCTCTCTGGTGAAAGTTAAGGGTATCCCCGTGCCGTGAATCTTAACAGGATATTCTTTCAAGTATCGGTGACAATGAGGAGGGAGCCCATAATGAAACGTTTGTTACCCAAAAGTTTATTGGCAAAGGAGGGGATCGTGTGGACTAACAGATGCAAATTCAGACATCAGTGCTTTTCCCCAGGTGACGTTTAAGTAAGAAAGGCGATTATTTTTCTCACAACCAAACAGTTATCTTAAAAAAAGGTGAATCCCCCCCCCGCCCCCGTTTCCCCAGAACACACTATGAAAATGCTATAATTGAGAGACAGCAAAGCAACAGAAAATATTACTTGTCTTCATATCTACATGGAGATTATACTGAAAATTTTTACGGAAGGAACTGGACTTCTGTCTCGTTTACACAGAAGAGCCTGTCCAGATTTGCAAAAGATTTTACTCTTCAGGGGAGGGGGGGGGCGGGAAGGCCTTTGAAAGAGGTTTTTTTTAAAAAAATGCATTCGCTGGACATCTCCCGCTTTTGATAATAATTAAAAAGGTATTATTTCTGCCTTTCTGGATTGCCACTGTCGACCGAAAGAAACCAGTGTTTTGAAATACATCATAGGCCATTGTGGGATGACATTAGATTGTAAAGGACATGCCATTTTCTTCTCATAAATTCTGCACAAGAACACTTAAGGGCACTCAAACCTCAATTACAAGAAAAGGAACCTTAGCATAAAATTTCTCCTTTCAGTCATTACAACATTCAGCCACAATGCATTAGAAGTTACTCTCTTTCTTTCCCAATCGGTAGAATTCAGTTACGCTACACCTCACCTAAAATAGCACCCAAACATATAACATCAAGGTAACAAGGGCAGCCATACACGAAGTGTATATAGAAAACCCTGTCCTTTTCATACCGTTTCCAAAGCTTTATTCACTCTCCTGGATGACTATAAATAAGTATTTCCACTATGGAAAAGCGAGTTTTAGCACAGTACATTTTCATGACTGGGGAATGGATCTTTTTTCTTTTTCCCCTCTGGAGAATTCTTCCAAAAGGGCAAAAGCTTAGAAAAACAACAACATTAGAATACAGTTCTTTATAAAGTCCCTTGTAAAAATTAAGAAAAAAAAAATAAGAAAAAAAAGAAAAACACAAGGCCCAAAATGATTTATTGCTTTTCTTCAGCCTTTTCCTTGTCTTCTTTCTTCTCCGATTCTTTGCACTCGTCCTTTACAGAAAGGTCTTCTAATTTTTCAGCAATTTTATCAGCGCTATCATTTTTGTCTGTTTCTGCTAAAAAATGTTGGTGCAGACCATTAGTATTTAATAGGCATTAGCTGGAAACAAGGTTATGGAATACAGCAGGGAAAACATTGACTTTGTAATAATATATGACTGAGTTCGAACTGTAGGAATAGATATGCTAAAAACTGAACATAACATGAAAACCCTTTGCTACTACGGTTCAAATATAAACATAAAAGAAAATCATTTTCTAATTTGCTTTGCCTGAATATCTAAGAAGAATTAGGTATATGCAGCATTTTTACAAGTTTCAACAGTTAAAAATCTGTTCAGAATTAAATGTGATGTGCCAAGACAATTGAAACAGAAATCCACAAGGAAGGACATGTTTGTTTTATTCTGGACTGCTACTCTGGCAGACTTTAAAAGCACTGTAACTATTGTAGTCACACGCAGAGTGAGCCTGCCTATACAGATGAAAATGTAAAGCCTATTGACCAGAATACTGTGGGCCTCAACACCTCCGAATTAATGAAAACACAAAAATATTGCTTTATTTAAAAGGCTCCCAGTCTCGAAACAATTGCTCCATTTCCCCAACGTATTTGACCAGATGGAAAAATATTCTCTCCATTACAACTAAAGGTAACTCATTTCACAGACACAGGTAGTCCTTGACTTACTATAATTCTTCCATCATTAAGCAAGGAAGTTAAATGAATCGCACTCAATTTTATGACTGCCTGCTTCAATTGTTAAATGAATCACAAGGTTGTTAAGGGAATATGTCTTCCTTTCATTGACTTTTGTCAGAAACCGGCTAAAAAAGTTGCAAATATTGATCATGGGATCCCAGGACACTCATACACACGACTTGCCAAGCGCCTTAATTTTTGATGGGTCCATGGGGATGCTGCAATGGTTGCTAGTGGTTATAAGTCAAGGACTACTTGTACCATGTTGAATAGCAGCCCACTAACTTTGCATTCCATTTGGCCAATGATACCGGAATATTTTCATAAAGTTGAGCTATCAATCATAAAAGACAACTGAGGTTAAGGACGGATATTTCCCAAGACAAATTCTGAATGTATTTCCTACAATTAAATGTGAAAGAATGGATGATTAATGACAAAACAATTCTATTATTTATTTTCCAATAAGGAAAAATAAAGAAGCAAAATCCAGAACTGGCACAAAATGAGTGTTAAATGGCAGGGCAAGCAAGGGAGGAAGAGAAATTATCTCCTTCAATGGAATACACGATTCTCGTGCTTACTCCAGGTAAGGTGTGCGAAGTCTATACACATCTTACACACTTCTGTAAAATATGGGTGGAGACTTTATCTCTTCCCTCCTTGTTTGACTGGTTAGGGACTTCTGCAGAAAAGCTTCAGATCTCTTGAAGGGTAATATTCCTTTTTCAGACGTAAATGAATACAAACATCTTACCTTTCTTTCCCTTTTTGTCAACTTCACTCCTACATTCTTCAAATTTCGCCTTGAATTTCTGTGCGTCTGTTTGAAAGAAGCAAAATCAGAGATATGTTGCGGTGAATTTAAGCAAGCAACTCGAAACACGTAGGAAATCATGTGTTTCACTCCCCAGAGGTTAAAATTTGCATGCAATGGATACAATTTCAGCCAAATTTCACCTTCCAGAAGCCCTGTTGTCCTTCTGATGGAGAAAAAATAAATCCCCGAGCAAAGGGTTCAAACAAGCAAGGGTGAGCTCATTGCAGGGAGAGTGAATTTCTATACAACCAAAATTGTGAAATTGGTACGCCAGGAGGAGTTACAGGAATGGCCACTTGAGGTCGCTGTAATCTAGCTCTAGACAGAAACTGCAAGCACAGGTCGTCCTTGACTTACGACCACAATTGAGCCCAAAATTTATGTTGCTAAGAATTTTGCTCCATTGTACAACCTTTCTTGTCACAGTAGTTGAATGAATCACTGCAGCTGTTAAGTTACCAACACAGTTGTCAAGTGAATTTGGTTTCCCCACTGACTGGGACACTGCGACCATCAGTGATATGAACCAGTTGCGAAACATCTGAATTTTGATCACATGATCGTAGGAAGGCTGCAATTGTTAAGTGTGAACAGCGGTCATGTCACTTTTTTCAGTGATGTTGTAACTTTAAAGTCACTAAATGAGTTTTTGTAACTCGAGGACTGTCTGTAGTTCATGCAGCAGGAAAAAGCTTTGTAACTTCACAGGCTGAAGCTCGAGAAGCCTCTCCCTGAATCCGTATTTGCTTCATCCCTTTGCAAATTTCTGGGATACAGGTAATTCTCAACATACACCTATCCTTTTTAGTGACCATTCAGTTACAACAGCAGTGGGAAAAAAATGACTTACGACCATTTTTCACACTTATGACCACTGCACCCTCCCTGTGGTCACGGGATCGAAATATGAACGCTTGGCAACTGGCATGCATTTATGATGGTTGCAGTTTTCTCCAGCTCGCCTGCAGGAGTTGTGGGGAGCTTCCTCCCTAGAAGCTTTCAAAAAGAGACTGGACTGCCATCTGCCAGAAATGGCGTAGGGTCTCCTGCCTATGTGGGGGGTTGGACTAGATGACCTACAAGGTCCCTTCCAACTGTTAATCTGTATTTCTGGAGTCGTATGTGATCCCTTTCGCGACTTTCTGATGAGCAAAATCAACGGGGAAGCCAGATTCACTTAACAACCGCGTTCCTAATTTAGCTGCAGCGATTCACTTAGCAACTAGGGGAAGAAAGGCCGTAAAATCGGGCAAAGCACACTGAACAACTGTCTTCTTAGCAACAGAAATCATGGGCTCAGTTGTGGTCATTAGTCAAGGACTACCTATGCATCACACCATCTACATCCCTCTTAATACATTGGACTTTCTGGCTTAAAAATGTGAGTCTCCTCCTGGCACCTTGAACAGGTTCATGGAACAGTTGTGAGGTTTTCCTGTCATTCCTTAAACCACAAGGAGGGGGAAACCGCTTTTTTTTTTTTAAAAAAAAGTCTAATTTCTCCAAAAGAAGTAACTTACTTTCTGCATTTAAAAACCGAATTGCCAGAAGCTCCGGTTTAGGACTCTCATCCGCAAAATCAGCGTGTGTGTTCCACACCCAGGCCCGGTCACTCCCCGCGTTGGGCTTCAGCTCCATTACAGGTGTGACTAAAGTGAGGAGGGGAGGAGTTAGGCACAGGTAAGGCAGCAAGATAATACAAACTATCAAGCAATATTATAAAACTGTGAAGAACCAGCAAGGTCAAGATCGAACAGTCTATCTAGAAAAGAACGAATGTCCAATTTTCTATTATCCATATTTAAAATATTGTCGAATATATTTCATAATGTTATCGCTGTTGTTCAGTTTCTAACAGTCCAACTTATAACTCCGAATACGGTAATTGGGCCCTATATAGTTTCCTAAAATCGTTGAGCAGAAGGAAGCTATCAATTTTACTCCAGAAAGAGTTTGCTCTTATAATACCAACACATACAGCAATCTTAAGCAGAAGAATACTAAATTACATACTATAATGGTTTGCACAGATTTTAAGAGTCTTATCTCTCCTCATCAGGAGGCGGATGGTCCCCTTATCTTTGTGCTTCAGGAGTTTTACATCCCCAGTGCCACGTTCTTTCCATTCTGGAAGGTCGTTTTCTGATGCGAATCGGAAAAGTTTTGCTCGCCTTCACGAAAAAATAAAATGCAAAAGAGACAGACAGAGATCAATGGCAATGAATATTCCGGAGTATATAGTGAATCAGGATCTTTTAGCATAACTGAGTTAACTGATTTTTTTCAACACTCAACACAAACTTGCAAGTCATAGTTTGATAAAAGCCTCTAAAGAAACTGCTTTAAAATTTATTTTGAGGATGTTAATTCAGTTTCAGTCAGGTACAATGGAGTTCAAACACTTTTTAAACAAGTTTAAATTAAATTAAGCTTCATGATGAGATAAAGCATAGAAGAAACAAAAGTTAGGAAAATAAGAAAAGGAGAAACTTGCAAAAAAAAGCAGTGATTTCTGACTTTCTTCAGTGCAGATTAACAAAAATAATATACTGACCTTTTACTTTAAATCTCAGAACCTTAAAAGTTACTATCAATTACAAAATCATTTTAATCATCGAAACCTAAGCTCAAAAAAGTTTCGTTTTTCCCCCCAGGTTCAAGCAGAAAGTGCAAAAGTGGTTTCCAAAAAGAAACCAAACTAGGTAAATTCTTTAATTCAGAGATTCAATTTCTCCATGTCTGCTAACTCCATCAACTTTACCGTCCTAGAGCAGAGTTCCCCAATGTTTCTGGCTCAGGGGCGGGAGAGGTTCTACGAGAGTAGCCAGAAAGCGTGCAGTTCCATTTGCGCGAGTGGCATGTGTGCCTGCCGCTCACTTAAATGGAGTGTACACGCTCGCTGCTTGCACAAGATGCATGCGTGCGCGCGCTTGCACACCCCTTGCAGCCCACTAGTGGGCCGCGACCCACAGGTTGGGAACCCCTGTCCTAGAGTTCCAACACTGAATAGAATTTAAACGACCCATTTTGTTAAAAGTTAAGCCTGCCACACTATCACATTTCTCACAAAATTGGGGCTTTGGTTTTACACCTGGAAAGTTTACTCCCTGAAAGTTAAGATTGTCTGCTAATTTAATTGCAGAAAGATACAGCTTCAGCTTACATCTTGAAAACTTCCTCCTCGTCTTCCTCCAGAGTTTTGATCTCTTGCTCAGGAAGAGAAACGATTGGCTCAAACTGCGGGTCGTGGTTAGAATCATCTGCATTGTCAGTTGCTGAGTCATGCTCCTCATGTGCCTCCTGCAGTTAGAAGAAAAAGCTTGAAATGCATCAAAGGCTTATTAGAGAAGATCATTTCAGAGAGTTAAGTCTCATAAATACACCCATCTGCCTTCCATTAGAAAGCTAATTTAATCCTATTTCATTCTGAAAACAACAGCAGCAGTTTTTTATGGGAGTCAACAGAACTGCAAAACAACAGAGTTCAAAAATCCAAATCGTGTTTTTAGTTATATTACTTTCTAAACTTTAGAATGTTTTAGCTACCTTATCAGTTTCTAAACTTTATAAAAAAACAGTGCCAGCTTGCAACGCTTCTAAATATATGGTGCTCAACCTGACATCCAACCTTATTAAACATATACCCTAATTGGGTGGTGAACATACTCCCTCCTCCAAGGAATAAACACCAGCACAGATTTGTGAAAAGAATATATAAAAACATCAATAATAGGATGCTGCCACAAAAAACTGAGGCTCTATTCAGGACTCTGGCAATGGTCAGCAGAGAAATAGAGTATAAACAAATTGCACATTCCACTTGTTTGTATTTTAGTCAAAAACCAAGAATGAGAACCAATTAATTGGAATTTGAGAGCTGCTATGTAAATGAAGACTTTAAAACCTGAAGATTTTCCTTCTGCAAAACTGAACCTTGTCTGCACTTTATTTTGTACTTGAAAAAAAAAATACAAATAAACAAATAAAGATGCCCAAAGTGACTTTTGCACATTGCAACTCTTCTTACAGCAATCTGGTTTACCAAAAGTCTGAAGACCCAAAGACACCTGCCCCTTTCTTTAAAAATTTCAATCATATAATAAAATAGAAAATGTATAAAGCATTGTTAAGATAAGAAATTGAATATAAAAACTGAATATGTAATTATGGTCATATTTGTATGTATGTGTGAAACCTGTAATCATGCTATTCTCTAAAAAAGAGATGTTAAAATGTGGAAAACTGAATAAAACTTGTTTTTAAAAAAATTTCAATCATGGAACCTGAAAACCACTATTTAAGGGAATCGCTGCTATTTGCTTAGCCCAACATTTCTCAAACAGTGGCCTGCGGTGCCCCTGGGGTACTCATGATATTCACTGCTATTCATGAAATCAAGTAAATTAACATTTTAAGGTTTTCTCCGTTTAAATTTCCAGTACAAAACAAATCCACAGATATGAAACCCAGTTCAACCAAACCCACCATTTAAAATAAATTAAACCCCACTTGGGTGGAAATATTTGACAAATTTGGGCTTTTGACAAAAGCTGTCAGGACAGCAGAATATTGTAGGTAAAGTAAAAGCCTACTGAATGAATATTTTGCTATTTTTGCTACTGTTATGCTGCCACTTTGCTCTCTTTGATGGGAAGAAACAACAACGGAAGGCAAAAGGGGTCCTGAGTCCAAAAGATGGGCGAACCTAGGAAGCCACAAGAATGTTTGCCAAAGTTTAAGGCAGGCATAGAAATTTAATATTCTTTTTTTTAATGCACCATCTAAAATAGTAGATAGAAATTTGGATCTTTGGGGGGGGGGGTTTGGGGGGAGGGAACAGGAGAACACTGGGGCCCAGAGCCACCTCGTCGGGGAGATGAGCACCATTAAAAAACGTAGTAATAATTAATTGATTCAAATAAACAAATTAATTATTATTGGGGCCAGGCGTGGAAGGGAAAACAATAGGCGGGCATCGCTTTTGGAGGGGGGGGGAGTCAGGGATGCTCGCCCTGATCTCCAGCCAGGGGAAGCCACTCTTCCTTGTGGGGAGAGGCCATTTTCCTCGTGGGTGGGAGCAATTTGGACGGGGGTGCCTTCGGAATGCCAAGCATGCAACCCGCCCCCCGCCCCCCGAGGCAAGGGAGGCCCCCGGATGGTCTTCCAATCCAGATGGTCTTTTGCGGGGAGGGGGGGGGGGTGCTTGCACTCTTCCCGCCGTTCCGCCCACGTCTCGTCCCTCCCCCCCCCCGGGAGCACGTGGGCCGCCCCAGAAGGGAGGGGGGAGGAAGGAGCGAAGCACGAGGCCGCAGAACCCCGTCCTCGCCGGGACTACAACTCCCCGAAGGCCCGGCCGCAACCGGCAAAGGCAGGGAATGCTGGGAAATGGAGGCCCAAGGCGGCGCTCAAGGTGGGGGGGGGGGGCTAACGGGAGGCCTAGCCCCCCCTCCCCGTGAGGGAAGGCCGCCCCGCGCCTGAGGGGCCTAGCGGCGGCGCGTGCCCCCCTCCTCAGCTCGCTCTCCGCTTCTTCGGCTCGCCTCACCTTCGTCTCGGCCATGGTGGGGCTGCCGCTCCCCCGTTGGGCTCGCTCCCCGTCGCCGCGCGGCTTCCCGCCTCCGCTGCCCGCTCCCGCCGCGAGCTCCGTCGCCGCGCCGCCTTGGCTCCGCCCACGACGCTGCGGCCACGCCCCTCGCGCGGCGCCTGCCGCCGCCGCAAGGGCTGACGGGAATGGAAAAAAAGCGTTTGGGCCGAAACCTCGGCGGCTTGTTTCTATAATAACCCAGCGGAGAAGAACGGCGGGGTTGAAGAGCAGCGTGGGGAGGCCTCGCGCGCGCTTCCCGCCCTCCTTCCCGTCGGTCCTCGCGCGACCTCTCTTCTCCACCCCCCAACTCGAGCAGCGACGCTGCGTGGTGGAGGGGCACGCTCACCCTTACGTGTGCGCGTGCGCATATACGGGGATTTATTTTCCCCCCCCCTTGCTTTGGAGGAAAAAAAAAAAAACCCAAAAGCCCAAGCGAGGACGAGCGACGCTGCGCACGCGGCGTCATGCCGGCCTAGTCGCCTTAGAGACCCCGGCCTTGCTTCCGCGCCTGCGCTCTGCGAGGTTGGTCTTTGGAGGGGGGCCGCTCGCCTGGTGGGCCCGGCGGCGGGTGAGGTGAGTGGAAAATTCCACGCGGGGCTTGTTCGGGTTTTGGCCGAGCATAAGGCCGCCCCTGCAACCTTCCCCAGCCTGGCGGCCTCCGGATGCGGATGGATTGCAAATTCAGGAAGGCCCTGCTTGGAGGAGGCACGGTTCGAGGGCGCTGGGTTGGAGAGCTGCGCAGAGGGTTCTGGGGGATGTAGTCTTAATCCCCTCCCGTTGAACCTTGTTCAATTGGATGCTTTGAGGGGTTGGGTTTCTCAATCGTGGGAACTTTAAAATGAATGGACTTCAATTCCCAGAATTCTCCAGCCAGCATTTCAATACAAATAAAACTTTCAAAATTATACCAGAAATAGCACAATATCAATAAAGCACAATTGCGGCCAATGCCTGCTGAAGCTGAGCATTACAACCCCTCAATTTCCCAGCTTTTCAAAAATAGACTGGATAACCGTGGTACTGGGGTGGTATGAGGGGTTGGACTAGAAGATCTCCGAGGTCCCTTCCAACTCTATGATTCTGTTTTCTTAGATCTTCCTGCATCAATCCAAGGCTTCTGCTTTCTTGTATTTTGCTGGTTATCTGGTTAATGTTTAGGTAGGCTGAGTTTGTTAAAAGTTGTCTCCTGTTCCTTCGCATAGGGTACAGCTGCAAAGAGTGGTGCTGTGGCCTAGAGGTAGAACTCTTGCCTCACAATCAGGTTGGCTGTGAGTTTGATCCTAGGTAGAGGCAGATATTTCTCTCTCTGGGCACCATAAGAATATATCTGCTGAACAAAACTCCGCATTGGCGACAGGAAAGGCATCTGGCCAGTAAACACTCAGCTCCATTCAGTTACCCTGCAAGGGATTATGGGGTCATTAAATGATGATGATAACAGTACAATTGTTGAGCCACTCCTTGTCTTGCAGTTATTTAAAGCTGATTTTTATTACAGGTATTATTTTTGTTTTATCTGTTTAAAACACACCGCTCCTAGAGGTGGGATAAGCCAGTATTCTTAATAACCCATCATAACTCTGGCTAAGAGTCACAAAGGCTCTCTGTAACCCTTGCTATTCAGTTTAATTGTGGTTTGTTACCTTTTCTGAAGACAGTCCATTTAGTTTGTTTTACCCTCAATGATCTCCTCTGTGATTTGGTTCAGGGTTTAGTGCAGAGAGAGAGAGAGAGAGAGACGATTCCGTTATTTTTCTCCACAGTACCTGAAACAATGGAGGAAAACAAGGATGGCGTCCACTCGGTGGATCCAGAAGGTACCACTCCGGAATCGGCGGTCCAAACCGGAGAAACAAATGCAGAGAACCCTTCCGATACTTCCGACATGTACAGGTACATTAAAGAGGACTTGTTCACTTCGGAGATCTATAAGGTCGAACTTCAGAATCTCCCCAGATACGTCGGCTTTAACGAAGTCAAGAAATTCCTTGCCAAATACGGCCTCAACCCGCACAAGATAAAACTGATGGGGAAGCAGACCTTTGCCTTCGTCACCTTCAAGAGCGAGGAAGAAAGGGACAAAGCGATGAAAGTTCTTCACGGCGTCCGATGGAAGAACCGGAACTTGAGCGTCCGTTTGGCCAAACCAAAAGCGGATCCCATTTTGAAGAAGAGGAAAAGAGAGGAAGGCGCCGAAGAGGTGCCAGCCAAGCGCCCGGCTTCTTCCAAAGACGGCGAGGAGGAGTCTCTAAGCAAGCAGATAGCGGATGTGGTGACTCCTTTGTGGACTATTCCCTACGAAGAGCAGCTGGTGAAGAAGAAGAAGCAGTGTGAAGAAGTGTTGGCCAAACTGACCAGGTGATTTGCCTTTTCTGGAAGCTTCATTCCCCTGGTAGATATACTTCCCTGGAAGTAAGACCTTGTCTTATATTTTTTTGCCACCAAAAAAAAGGCACCAGGTCTTATTTTCAGGGGACGTCATCCACTGACTATCCTCACTTGGGTGTGTCGCAAGGCTTTTATAAAGGCCTCCGCAGCCGATAGGATTGATCCAGAGCTTTGTTATCAGCTACAGAGGCCTTCAGGAAAGCCTTGCCAGCCTTTTCCATTACACCTCCTTGGATTTTTCACTTGGGAAACTGGGACAGCATCCTCCACCGCTTTAAACAGCTATCGGGGCTTAGCAATGACTAGCTGGATCCCCGTGCTTCGCTACAAAACTATGTGGTCGGGCTTAGTTTTGGGGGAGGAAAATAAGGGGGAAAAAATTCTGCCTCTGCCTACCAGCATCCCTCGGTATTCATCTGGCTAGCGTCCTGTCAGTGTGTGAGAGAGTTGAGGGCTCTTTGGAAACTGAAACAGTATTTGTTGTGTGAGCAAGGAGGAGATAGCAAGGAGGCTGGGCATGCTTATCTCAACTGTTCTGTACTAAAGCTGGTTGCTGCTCTGAAACTGAGACTAAAATTCCTCTCCTCTGCTTGTGTTTTGCATTTGGAAGAGATTTCTTTTCAGGTGGGGAGTGGGGAGTACAACTCCTTAGCATCAGAGCATGTTAATAATAATAATAATACAGGAACTACTAATGCTCTGATGGTCATTTTGAAAAATCCTTTCTTAGCGAGCACCTAGGAGCCAAGAGGAACACACGTGCCAAATTTCAAGTTTGTAGGCTTTACAGTTCTGGAGATTTTGCGATGATGTGTAAGTGGTCTTTCGCTTTTATATACTGTATATAGATGCTTCATGATGTTGGTTTGGTCTTCCTTCCTTCCTTCTCTCCAGTAAACCCTTTTTTTAATCTTTTGATTTCAGGGACATGGGAAACAACAACCGAGCGCTGCTCCCGTGGCTGTTCCTGCAAAAGGAGAAGCACGATGGGCTTTGTTGCTCCTTGGAGGGAGTGAAGCCATCCCCAGTACAGGTCATGCATACCGGGAGTTTCGTGCGATACCCGTTTCATCAAACTCTTTAAGAGGAAGCAAAACGCAGCCTTGGTCTTCGCGCTGAGTAGCTGCTAAGGCGCGTAAAGGGTGGAATGGATAGAGGTAGTCCTCAATTTAGGGCTGGTGGCTTAGTGACCAAAGTACAGGTAGTCCTTGAGTTACAACCATCCATTTAGCGACTGCGCTAAATGTTACCACGGCACTGTGAAAGGTGGCTTATGACAGGTTTTTCACTCAGACCTGGCTGCCACGTGGGCAGTAGCAAAATCCTGTGCTTCCTGCGTTCTCACCATGGGTTGTGATGGTTGTCCGTTTTGTAGCACCCCGGGAAAGGCGTGTCCCTGATGGCTCCGATCTGAATGTTGCCTTGCTTTGCATTTAGACCGAGTACCGCAACAAATGTGAATTTTTGATTGGCTTAGGCCCAAATGGAGAAGAAAAAATGGTCGGCTTCCGGCTGGGCAAATACAAGGGGGGTTCCTGTGCTGTTGTGGAACCCTTTGAGACCATCCATGTCCCCGCCGAGGCGAAGAAGGTGGCCAGGGCTTTCCAGGAGTATATACGGTGAGCCATCCGCTGTTAATGGGGTTTTCTTTTTCCCTCAGAATGTTTCTTCTACCTGAGATGTCTGCTTTCTGTTTCCCCAAGTTTGGCTCCTGCATGATAGACAAATGTAGTTTGTGTACTTTGTCTTAACAATGAAATTCAAGACAGAGAAAAGTAAAGTCTTACACTTAGGCAAAGAAAAACCAAAAGGACACCTGTAGGCCGGGTGAAACCAGGCTTAATATTTTGTTTGTTTGTTTGTTTATTTAATTTATATTGCCGCCTATTCACCCATGGCATACACAATGTAAAAACCATATATTTAAAACAAAATAAAAACAAATAAAAACTAACAAAAAGAATAAAATAAATTAGTAAAGTACAATAGAACAAAATTTGGGAAAACAAAAAATCAAAAATCAAAAACCAACTCTCACCCCCGCCCCAACGACAGCAGATCACGCTAGCCATTGGATGGGCTCCATCCAATGTTCCCTAGGCCCGCTGGCAGAATCAGGTCTAGAATAGTAAGGGGGCCATTCTAATCTCGGGGGGGCATGATGTTCCAGAGAGACGGAGCCACCACAGAGCAGGCCCCTCTTCTAGGTCCCACCAGGTGTATCTTCCTCAGGGTGGGACCCGCGACATTCCTTTCCTCCCTGCTGTAGTGGTCCGGGTGGATGTGACTGGCAAGAGATCTTTCCTTAGATATCCCGGACGAACCGACTAACAGTAACTGAGAGAGGGGATCTTGGAGTCTTAGTGGACAACCAGCTAAATATCAGCCAGCCGTGTGCAGCAGCAGCCCAAAAAGCCAATACAATCCTAAATTGCATAAACAAAGGGATACAATCATGATCAAGGGAGGTACTAATACCACTCTATAAATATATAAAGCCTTAGTAAGACCACACCTAGAGTACTGCATCCAGTTTTGGTCACCACACTATAAAAGACATTTATTTTATTTTTATTTATCAATTGCTTACAAGATAATAGGTATAAGTAAAAACAGTTATGAATACATGGATACAGAAAGAAAAATAAAAAAATATATAAAAGAAACAATAGGACAGGGACGGTAGGCACGTTGGTGCGCTTATGCACGCCCCCTACAGACCTCTTAGGAAAGGGGTGAGGTCAAT